AGTAGTGGGAACTACAGGTGCCTGCCACAACGCCTGGCTATATTTTTTAGAGATGAGGTCTTTCTCTTTCTCAGGTTGGTCTCGAACATCGGAGCTCAGGCAACCCAGAGTGCTAGGATTATAGGTGTTAGCCACCACGACCAGCCTGAGGTTTTTTTTTTTTAATCATGAATGGATGCTATATTTTATCAAATGCCTTTTCTGTATCAATTAAAAAATTGATGTGAATTTTCCTCTTCAGTTTATTAAGATGATGGATTTTATTGATTTTTATAAAAAATATATTAAACCAGCCTTACCTTATTGGGGCAACCCCCACACTCTCATTTTATACACTTGTTACAGTTGGACTTTGCTATGCGTATGTATCACTTCCATAAGAAGCTGGTGGAACTTTTAAAGAAATACACATACCTGATTCCATTTTCTCCTTTTTCTGGTTTCATGTTAAGACTATCATTTACCTATGAAAGAAAATAGTAATATAAAAAAATTTCAACATACTACTCACTGGAATAAATTCAAATGAACTTTGCATCCTTAGAGAAGGCAATGGCGACAATTTTCCTAGGAGCTAAGGGTACGATTGCATTTGAAGGGCTATTACTTACTGCAGCCCTGATTTTCCCTAGGGCTAATATGAGCCTCTGCAATATTTGATCCTTGCTTGTTAGTAGTTCCACAGAGCAGTGCTGGCCAAGAATTTAGAACAAACCTCCCACCCATTCCACGATTAAGCAAGACCAAGAGCTTCTGTCTAGCAGTTCTGTACAATCTCAATTAAGGTCACCTCCCAGAATGCTTGCAACTTCACTCCAGCTTCTTCATGTGTGGAATGGTGTATCTAGATATCTATACTTGGTCATCATTTATTTTGTACGTATAGTATTTTATTGCTTTTATCTGATATACTCATACTTCTTCAGTTTACATTTTTAAAATTTATGCAATTAAAAATATATTTAAAACTTCATCTCCCAAGAATGCGCCTGTGTACTCCACATGACCTGTGTATGCACACACAACACGAATATGTGTGCACAGACCCCCTATGGTGTCTAGAAGGGATTTAAAAAAAATTATTTAATATTAAGCTTTACAATTCACTAGTCCTTTCTTGGAAGTCTGACTGGTGTTCTTGAGGACTGGCATTCTGGAAGAAGGAAGGCCTGGAGGACCACCTGATATAATACTATGTAGGGGCCACATGGTAAGAAGCCCTGCCTGATACCCCAGGTAGCAAAGAGCCAGTGGTGGGTGCTGAACCACTTACCACGCGGTAGCGATTGGGGGCCCACACGAGGAGGGTGTGGCGTTGGCCTGGTGTGAAGTCCTGAGTTACAGCAGTGGCCGGTGATCCAGCAGAAGAAATGTTGATGCTCGTCAGTTTGTCTACGTCGAAAGTCATGAATTCATTTGTCTACAGGTGGGGGAGGAGTCATAGTTAATCCCACAGAGTCT